AATACTGTTGGTAGCTTGACGAGGATTGCACTGACTCTAGATTGCTTTGGGATGTATACTCATTTTCACTATATTGATTCTTCCAATCCATGAACATGGATCCATATTTCTCCATATATTTGTGTCATCTTTGATTTCTTTCATCAGTGTTTTATAGTTTTCTATGTATAGGTCTTCTGTTTCTTTAGGTAAATTTATTCCTAAGTATTTTATTTTTTTCATTGAAATGGTGAATGGGATTTCCTTATTTTCTCTTTCTGTTTTTTCATGGTTAGTGTATAGGAATGCAAAGGATTTCTGTGTATTAATTTTATATCCTGAAACTTTACTACATTCATTAATTAGCTCTAGTAATTTTCTGGTGGTGTCTTTAGGGTTTTTTATGTAGAGGATCATGTCATCTTCAAACTTCAAGAAGAGTTTTACTTCTTCTTTTCCAATCTGGATTCCTTTTACTTCTTTTTCTTCTCTGATTGCTGTGGCTAAAACTTCTAAAACTATGTTGAATAGTATGGTAAGAGTGGCCTGTTTGCTGTGGGTTTATCATATATGGCTTTTATTGTGTTGAGGTATGTTCCTTCTATGCCTGCTTTCTGGAGAGTTTTTGTTATAAATGGATGTTGAATTTTATCAAAGGCTTTCTCTTCATCTATTGAGACAATAGATATTGAGATAATAGAAAACCAACTTTTCTATTTACTAGCTGTGTGCTTTGTGGCAAATTAATTTCTGTGGTTCAATTGCCTGTAAAATAGGAATAATGATAATACCAATGTAAAGTCTACAATGAGAAAACACAAAAATGCCAGCACACATTTCCAACTCAACAGCATTAGCTATTAAGACCATTTCATAATCTTCTGTACAACAGAGATATACATTATCTCCTCAGTTGTCTTAACTTGTCAAATGGATATTATTGCTCTTGTTTACTAATTACCAGAAACAGAGTTTCAGCAAGTATAAATTATTTGCACTAGGTCACTCAGTCAGTAAGAGGGAGTATACGATGTAAATCCAGGCCTCTAAATACTCTTTGCACTCTAACCCAATGCAAATAATTATAGTACTTTTAGAAGAGATAAATATAGACCTGATTTTCTGCCTAGAAATCAAAGTTAATAGGCTCAACCTAAAATATTTTAAAAATCTGACTTTTTACAAATTATCCGTGTCCAAGAGTCTAATCACACCATCTTTACCTCACATTTTCCCTAGAAATCTCATTTAATCTTTATGAAAGCTCTTTGAGTTAGGTGCAATTGATATTATTTTACAGATTAGATAACATAGTTTTATAAGGAATTATCTACGATCAGATAGCAGGCAATGATGGAATAAGGATATGCATGTTTGCAAAGCTAACATTCTTTCCAATCCACAGTGATGCTTCAAGAGAGAAGATGATAACTTATAGACAGAGAATGGTGTAACAGAAGGCTATCAAGGTGGGATGGGCTTCCCAGGTGGCTCTAGTGGTGAAAACCTGCCTGTCAATGCAGGAGACATAAGAGATGTGGGTTCTATCCCTGGGTCAGGAAGATACCCTGGAGGAGGTAATGGAAACCCACTCAAGTATTCTCGCCTGCAGAATCCCATGGACGGGGGAACCTGGTGGGCTGCAGTTCACAGAGTCACATAAAGTCAGACAGCACATCAAGGTGGGAAACCAGCAAAGAGTCTACAATGTGAATACTCGGTTTGGCAATAAGCCAGAAACCCAGAGTTTTAAGAGATTAACTTCCTTGTACAACAGAAACCCAGACAAAATAGTAAAGCAATTATGCTCCAATTAAAAAAACAAAATAGCACTCGTACAGAAACGAGTTCTTAATAAGTCAGCAGAATTTTGAATGTGATAGAGATTCCTGAGACTCCTCCTTGCCTAAAGCCAAAACTGTCCCTAGAAACTTCGGAAAAACTTTTGAGAGTTGTAGATAATCGTTCAAAATGTTGTGGGAGTGTAGAGAGGCAAACTGTTGTATCAGAGCATCGGCAGGTCATTTATGGCCTCACAGCTTCTTCCAATTCTGTTATTCCAATTGTTTTAGTATCCCTGATTCCCCAGGGATTGGGGAAGTAGGCTGTAATATACCCAGCACTACATCAAGTGGTGCTAAGGAGACATACATAGAATAAAAACATAAGACATTCATAGAATAAAATAGAAACTCTGTTCCAAGGAATGTTTAAATCCAATGTGAGAAAAAGACTACACACATGAAATGATCAGACATGAAAAATATAGTTAAGGTACAAAAGCTTATAGAACCGATTATAAGCCTCTGGGGAACCAGATCAACAACCAACCAGATTGTTCTATAACTGCTGGACATGTTGAAAGGTTTTAAACAGATGATTGATAAAATCATATTAATATTTCAAATAATTAAAACAAATTTAATTAAAAAGTTATGTAGTTTGTTTTAAAGTTGAGTTCAAATAGCATGATGACAATTTTGGCTTTGATGTGAACTGCCATTTTAAAACAGAAAAGGAACATAAACCTTTGAAATAAAATTCAATATTTCTCATTATTATTACTATTAAGTTTTTACTGTTCCCTTATTTTCTTTGCAGTCATGAGGGTATGCTAAGCTGCTTCAGTCCTGTCCAACTCCTTGTGACCCCATGGACTGTAGCCTGCCAGGCTCCTCAGTCCATGGGATTCTCCAGGCAAGAATACTGGAGTGGGTTGCCTTGCCCTCCTCCAGGAGATCTTCCTGATCCAGGGATCAAACCTGCATCTCATGTCTCTTGCATTGGCAGGCAGGATTTAAAGATCATGCTATTAATTAGTTTTCACAACACTTTTATACATTAACTTAATGCTTTTTTACTAAAACTCTGAACTTAGGTAAGATACCCAACCTTGAGAGTCCCTTGGGCTGCAAGGAGATCCAACCAGTCCATCCTAAAGGAAATCAGTCCTGAATATTCATTGGAAGGACTGATGCTGAAGCTGAAACTTCAATACTTTGGCCAACTGATGTGTAGAACTGACTCATTTGAAAAGACCCTGATGCTGGGAAAGATTGAAGGCAGGAGGAGAAGGGGACAACAGAGGATAAGATGGTTGGATGGCATCACTGGCTCAATGGACATGAGTGTTGATGATGGACAGGGAAGCCTGGCATGCAGCAGTCCATGGGGTCGCAAAGAGTCGGACATGACTGAGGACTGAACTGACTGACCCAAACCCTCAGGCTTAGGTTGCCTACGATACTCTGAACAAAGGGGTTAACAATAAAAGACAGACATTACTGTGGATATTAACTATGTATACAGAATAAAGTTCTCATCTCTCACATGGTAAGTAATTAGTAAACAGTAGCTGACCCTAAATCTGAATTCTCAGTACTCCATTTTTGGAGCTGAGACTTTAATTGGCTCAGTATCCTGACTTCTTTTCCAGAACCTCTTTCTTTACAGTACACTTGTCTGACAATCATATACCGAGAAAGAACTGCTCCTCAAACAACTGCTCAGCGTAGGTCGGGATGCCCCAGTGCAAATGTAAAGAGGGAACAGGCAAAATATGCTTAAAAAGTCTTTTCTGACTTTCAGTCTCAAGTGGGACAATAAATTATTTTACTTTGCATTTATTTGATTCCTAAGATAGTTGGTCATTTTTTCAAAAAATTTACTACTCACTTGTACTTCCTATTTGGATAATTACTGGGGTTAGCTTTTTAGTTGTGAAGGTAGCACCATAATTTAATAACAGTACTAAACAGAAGTGCTTCAAGGAATGTCATAAGAATAGATTCATGAAAGATGCTTGGGATTTGAACATGCACAGAAGACAGTGGAAAATATAGTTTTATTTTTCCTTTCCTGTTCTTTGTTTTCATCATATCTGACGTGCATAGTTTCCTTATTTCCACTTCTCTTTTGTTCCACAGGTAACCAGCCTGTCTTCTATTTGTAGGCTAATATTTTTTGGACTTTATTAAGATGCATTGTAATTGCAGTCTCCTTAATTGCTGCCTAATTGGTTCCTTCCTCCCCTTGGTGTATTTTTCATGCATTATTAAATTCCAACTGGCTTTCCGGAACTCATTTCGCATTCCTTCCAGACAGCTCTTCCAAAGTGAAGCTGTGTGTCTCTTCGTCCCTCAGTCACCCAGGAAAGAGCACTGGGGGAATTGAGAGGATCCTTAGAAACTGCATGCTTCCTGCTATAACAATGACAGCAACAGTATCTAGCATCCCAGTCCTTCACTGCCATTCACAAGTACCCTAACCAGTAGCGACTCAAGTCAGTCAGTTTCTTAAAGCAGGTGCTATTATTCCCATTCATCAAAAGAGGCATCTAAGGATCAAGGAGGTTAAATATCTTTCCCAGAGTCGAAAAGCTGTTTGGGGATTCACACCTAAGTCTCCGACGTCCTTTGCTCATCCTGCCATCACTAGCTGCTTGTGTACAAAACCAAGTGGCAGGCCTATACCCAATTAACCTCATCAGCTCTTCTACATATTGCTCATATGATTTTTCTTTTCTACCTATGAAGTCTTTCAACAGGGAAAATGGATCACAGAAAGATTAATTCATCTGAAGTCAGAAGGTCTGATTTTTTTAGTCTAACCAGCTGCAAAAGCCACTAAACACAGCTGATCTTCAGTTCCCCCATCTGTAAAGCTAATTCTTAAGATATATTATGTCTCCAATGTGTGTGAATTATATTTATAAAAATGGTATTGCTAAGAAGTAAGAGGTCATCAGGCTATATGACTTATAAGGCTCAGTGCTAATCTGGGTTTTATTAATCTCCAAGTATCTTAAAATGGAGTGCCATCAGACTCTCTAAAGACTTAATGCCTGAAGCTTTTCAGCCGGAACCGCCATCTTTCAGTAACTCGCCAAAATGACCAACCCAAAGGGAAAGAGGAGGGGCACTGGCTACATGTTCTCTAGGCCTTTTAGAAAACATGGAGTTGTTCCTTTGGCCACATACATGTGAATCTACAAGAAGGGTGATATTGTGGATATCAAGGGAATGGGTACTGTCCACAAAGGAATGCCCCACAAATACTATGACAGCAAAACTGGGAGAGTCCACACTGTTACCCAGCATGCTGTTGGCATCGCTGTAAGCAAACAAGTTAAGGGCAAGATTCTTGCCAAGAGAATTAATGTGTGCATCGAGCATATTAAGCACTCTAAGAGCCAAGATAGCTTCCTGAAATGTGTGAAGGAAAATGATCAAAAAAAGAAGGAAGCCAAAGAGAAAGGAACTTGGGCTCAGCTGAAGCGCCAGCCTGCTCCACCCAGAGAAGCACATTTCTTGAGGACCAATGGAAAGGAACCCGAACTGTTGGCGCCCATTCCCTATGAATTCATGGCCTGATGGGTGTAAAAGTAGACCTGGACCGCACAAGTATTTCTCTTAATTGAGTAGAGGTGTTGTGTCCAAATTCAGTGGGTGATGTCTTTTCAAATTTAGTGTTTCTTCTTCCTGAAAGATGTAAGATAGTTTGTGTGCAGTATGCTCCATTTTTTTAATAAACTGCCAGATATTATTTATTTTAAAAAAAGACTTAATGCCTGAAATACTTTCTGGAAAAAATGGTAGAATTAATAAACTAATAAGAATCTCAAGCCAGCCAATAAACAACAATCAAGATCCATTCTGGAGCTCTGGGGAATTTCAAATTCTAAGGCCACTTATTGTTTATTGTACTCATATATATAGGGGCTTGCCAGGTGGCCCAATGGTAAAGAATGCATTCCAATGCAGGAGACACAGTTCAATGCTAGGGAAGATCCCCTGGAGAAAGAAACTGCAACCCACTCTAGTATTCTTGCCTGAGAAATCCCAAGGACAGAAGAGCCTGGCAGGCTACAGTCCATGGAGTCACAAAAGAGTTTCACATGACTTAGTGACTAAACAACAACAATTCATATATACATTAGTATATATTACACGAATAAGTCCAAAATGCCACTAAACTCCTGTAGTTTAGAATTCTAAAACTACATCAAAACAAATCTGAATCTATTAGTAATTCTTAGTTTTGCCAAGTCATGAATTTAAATTGCACATACGCTCACCCAACTGTGAGAGCAAGTTACTTAGGTAGCATGTTTAACCCCACCCTCATCTAAAATCAACTTTTTTTGCATATGTAAATAAGAGCTTCTTTATAAGGAAAACCATATTCTAAGCTGGTATTGAAAAATTTACAGTTATCTAAGAATATATCTGGTGCTAATGTAGAGTTCCATTTATTGAGTAAATTTTACCACTGCCTTTTGCATGATATGGAATAGAAAAGAAATAGGAAGCTATACCAAGACTAACAAATATGGAGGATCCATACAGATATGCTACAAAATTTCTTATTAGGAAGGTTAGTGGTAGTGATGGTAAGAATAACAGCTATCCTCCCAGAGGAAAGAAAAATATATTAGAGGTTCAAATGTAAATATGCCTCTTAGTATTGAAATTCACTCAATTATCTACCACCTTCCATGCTCTCCATGTATCTTGTTGATAAGATCCTCTCTCTCTCTATACATTCTCCATTTATTTCTCTAAACACCATTTTCCCACTGTTTAAAAAAATGTCTTGAATTCATCCTTCTTTACAGGCATTACACCTATTTCACCCTGAACTTCCTAGTTAACCTTCTGGCTCCAGCTAATCTGAGGACTTAAACTTTGTGTTCTCCAGAGAAAATGACTGAATCAATTTCTACCAAACCAATATGAGTTTAAGAGGGATTTGGTACATTCCTGGTTACCCATGGTCATTTCCAGATCATTGTTATCCATCTTTCAGTCAAACTCATTGTCCTTTGAAACTAATGACATCTCCCCTCACCCTGCACTCACCATCAACTTACACCATTTTAAGAATTCCTTAATTTGATGAAGTCTCTAGATTATTTGGTGCAGTTTTTCTTTCTACCCTAATTCTTGCTTTTATCTCTGGAGATAAAATTAAAGTAACTGGATCAAAAAAGCTGCAGCTTTAACCTTAAGCCTCCTTCACCCCTATATATTCATCTCTTCTGAAGTTCAGCTGCTAATGCAGAGGGACATGTAATAAATAATATCATCTGTAGATCTGTTCCATCTTAGAAGCCAAACTGCTTTGTTACTGTAAAGTAACTGTGAGTATGACTTCCTAGCCTCTCATCTCTCTCCCCCTCATTCCCCTTCCCCTACACTTTCAAAGGATTAGATCTGATATACAGCATGCCTGAAAAACTGTTTGGAGGTTCATAACATTGTACAGGAGGCAGTGATCCAAACAATCCCCAAGAAAAATAAATGCAAAAAAGCAAAATGGTTATCTGAGGAGGCTGACAAATAGCTGAAAAAAGAAAAGAAGCAAAAGACAAAGGAGAAAAGGAAAGATATACCCATCTGAATGCAGAGTTCCAAAGAATAGCAAGGAGAGATAAGAAAGCTTTCCTCAGTGATCAATGCAAAGAAATAGAGGAAAACAATAGAATGGGAAAGGCTAGAGATCTCTTCAAGAAAATCAGAGATACCAAGGGAATATTTCATGCAAAGATGGGCTCAATAAAGGACGGAAACTGTATGGACCTAACAGAAGCAGAAGATATTAAGAAGAGGTGGTAAGGATACACAGAAGAACTATATTAAAAAGATCTTAACCAGATAACCACGATCGTAACATCACTCACATAGAGCCAGACATCCTGAAGTGCAAAGTCAAGTGGGCCTTAGGAATCATCACTATGAACAAACCTAGTGGAGGTGATGGAATCCAGGTGAGCTCTTTCAAATCCTAAAATATGATGCTGTGAAAGTGCTGCACTCAATAAGCCAGCAAATTAAAAAAACTCAGCAGTGGCCACAGGACTGGGAAAGGTCAGTTTTCATTCTAATCCCAAAGAAAGGCAATGCCAAAAAACGTTCAAACTACCACACAATTGCACTCATTTTACTAGGAAGGTCATGCTCAAAATTTTCCAAGCTAGGCTTCAAAAGTATGTGAACTGAGAACTTCCTGGTGTAAAAGCTGGATTTAGAAAAGGCACAGGCACCAGAGGTCAAACTGCCAACATCTGTTGGATCACAGAAAAAACAAGGGGATTCCAGGAAAATATCTACTTCTGCTTCACTGACTATGCTAAAGGCATTGACTGCATGGATCACAACAAACTGTGGAAAATTCTTAAAGAAACTGGAATACCAGACCACCTTACCTGCCTCCTGAGAAACCTGTATGCAGGTCAAGAAGCAATAGTTCGAACAGACATGGAACAACGAACTGGCTCCAAATTGGGAAAGGAGTACCTCAGGGCTGTATATTGTCACTCTGCTTATTTAACTTTATGCAGTGTACATCATGTGAAATGCTGAACTGGATGAAGCACAAGCTGGAATCAACACTGCCAGGAAAAATATCAATAACCTCAGACATGCGGATGACACCACCCTTATGGCAGAAAGCAAAGAGGAACTAAAGAGCCTCTTGATGAAGGTGAAAGAAGAGAGTAAAAGCTGGCTTAAAACTCAACGTTCAAAAAACTAAGATCATAGCATCCAGTCCCATCGCTTCATGGCAAATAGATGGGGAAATGATGGAAACAGTGACAGACTTGTTTTCTTGGGATCCAGAATCACTGCAGATGGTGATTACAGCCATAAAATTAAAAGATGCTTGCTCCTTGGAAGAAGAGCTATAACAAACCCAGACAGCGTGTTAAAAATCAGACAAAACTTTGCCAACAAATGTTGATATAGTCAAAGCTATGGTTTTTCCAGTAGTCATGTATGGATGTGAGAGTTGGATCATAAAGAAGGCTGAGTGCCAAAAAATTGATGCTTTTGAACTGTGGTGTTGAATAAAATTTTTGAGAGTCCCTTGGACTGCAAGGAGACAAAGCTAGTCAATCCTAAAGGAAATCAACCCTGAATATTCACTGGAAGGACTGATGATCTAGCTGAAGCTCCAATACTTTGGCCACCTGCTGAGAAGAGTCAACTCATTGGAAAATACCTTAATTCTGAGAAAGATTTAAGGCAGGAGGAGAAGGGGACAACAGAAGATTAGACGTTCGGATGGCATCACTGACTCAACAGACATGCACTTGAGTAAACTCCACAAGATGGTGAAGGACAGGGAAGCCTGGCGAGCTACAGTCCATGGGGTCACAGAGTCAAACATGACTGAGTGACTGAACAACACCTTCAACTCAGATAGATGTCATCTATTGACTCTGCCCTTTTTACCTATTGGTCTCTGCCAGGCATCATTCCTGGAACCTGTAAGATTTTATTTAAACTATCATTACATGCACTGACATGTTCTTACACCCCTTTCTATTATTCAAAAGCTTTCACTATGGTTACCTACTAAAACTTATTTTGTATTGTCATTAATTTTCTAAAAGTAAATGAATCATTAGTCCTGTTTAATATCCCATATTCCTGATTTAGCTAAATGCTTTCCTTTGGTTTTTAACATTTTCTGTTCTCTCTCCCATTTCACCAGTAGTTAGATCTATTAGATTTATGGACTTTTTTTTTTTTGCAAGAATACCTCATACCTTATAAGTATACTGTATACCTTCTATTACATAATGTTTGGAAGCATATCATCCTCTTTTATTTTAGAGGTCTTAAGCAGAAGATATTAAGAAGAGGTGGCAAGAATACACAGAACTGTACAAAAAAGATCTTCAAGACCCAGAAAATCATGATGGTATGATCACTCACCTAGAACCAGACATCCTGGAATGTGAAGTCAAGTGGGCCTTAGGAAGCATCACTACGAACAAAGCTAGTGGAGGTGATGGAATTCCACTTGAGCTATTTCAAATCCTAAATGAGGATGCTGTGAAAGTGCTATACCCAATATGCCAACAAATTTGGAAAACCTAGCAGTAACCACAAGACCGGAAAAGGTCCATTTTCATTCCAATCCCTAAGAAAGGCAATGCCAAAGAATGCTCAAACTACTGTACAATTGTACTCATCTCACATTTTAGTAAAGCAATGCTCAAAATCCTCCAAGCCAGTCTTCAATAATACATGAACCATGGACTTCAGATGTTCAAGCTGGACTTAGAAAAGGCAGAGGAACCAGAGATCAAATTGCCAACATCCACTGGATCATCGAAAAAGCAAGAGAATTCCAAAAAGCATCTATTTCTGCTTTATTGACTATGCCAAAGCCTTTGACTGTGTGGATCACAATAAACTGTGGAAAATTCTGAAAGAGATGGGAATACCAGACCACCTGACCTGCCTCCTGAGAAATCTGTATGCAGGTCAGGAAGCAACAGTTAGAACTGGACATGAAACAACAGACTGGTTCCAAATAGGAAAAGGAATACATCAAGTTTGTATATTGTCACCCTGCTTAT